TTTGGAAAAAAATTATCAACTACCTTCATAAGGATCGAATTTATTTTTTCTAAAATCCTAGAAGACATTTGAGGGTCTTCGGGATTCCATAACTGCATACATTTGCCAATCTCATGTTTTAAATAAAAACTTTACTTCTCACTTATATCCCTTTTTTTCAACTTGTTCCAGTTTCTAGCAAAACTTTTTTCAGTAAAAACGTCCTTTTTCAGAAAATTTGAAAAAACTGAACACCAAAATGATCAGACACTGAATTTTTGATGGTTTTGGTTGAGAAACTTGATGTACAGAAAATTAAGTCAAACAAAGTGCCACTACGATCTGTCACTCTTGTTGGGAGGCAGCTAATTTTGTTTTCTAACATGCCAGTTCTTATCATAATATCCTCAATTTTTTTCCGCTTTGTCGAGTTTAACAGAAAATTTACGTTGAAATCACCAAAAACTATGTGATCAGTTTCAGGCCCTAGCGTTAATCCATCCAAATAATTTTGCAGGCTTTCGAAGGTAGCGTTGTTTAGAGAATTTGGTGGAATGTAAACACAGGTTACTACAATTTTCTGATTCATTTGTGTTTTTATGAGAACTGACAAGATTTGGATATTGTTATCTTTTTTTTGTTTTATTATCTTATGATCTGACCCAGTGTTAACATAGATGCCAATAACTCCTCCTCGTTTAATTCTAGCGCAAGTATAGAGAGGTTCGTATCTTTGAATTTGGAAAATATCATTGTCAGAGTTATTTTTGAGCCAGGTTTCAGTTAAACAAATGATATCTGGACGTTGGGCCAACTGTTCTATTTCTAATTCAAATTCTTCAAAGTTTCGGGGCAGTGATCTGATGTTTTGTAAAAACACTGAAAAAATTTTAGAATTTGTTTCCTCCATATCTCTGTTAACCATATGTTCTGTGTACAATATAATTCTCGCGTGGTTTCTTAACTAGTTGAAAATTTAACCAATTTTTGAAGATCAATGAGTTGTCAGAAATCAGAAGCCACCCAGGGCAGTGCGGAAATCGCACAAACTCTAGGTAGTTTCTCCTCCTTGTCTAGAATATTCTTTTTCTTCTTTGATTGCCCAAATCCGTTTGTGTTAAAAAAAAGGATTTCCAAGATCAATTAAAAAGGCGAAGTGTAGTGTGATAGAAAAAAAAGTTAAGTTTGAGAAGACAACATTTGGCTTGAGAAGGACTGAACGCAAGAAGCAGGCATGATAGCGCTTAGTTGGGAATTTTGAGAGAATGATGGTACAAAATCTAAAGGAAACTTTTTCTGCTAAAACCAAATTCAAACAGGTGAAAGAATGTAATCGTCCATGGTTGAAAGCATACAATGAATTGAAAGGGCCTGTAGCGCTAATTTGTTTTCCCTAATAGCCCGCAAAGAGCAATTTTCTTGGGTTTGCGTTTTATATAACAAAATCTTACTTGCTGTGCGATTCTAAAAGGGGGAAGTTTAATCTAAAGTTCCTCATTATAAAGTTTTGTAAGACCTCACTAAATTTTCTGGAGAATGGCTTTAAGAAGATCCAGATAGTGCCTTCAGAATTGATTTTTTTCGCGTGCGGCGTTCGAAGTTGCTTTCAAGCTAAGAAGACGCCTATTTTGTTGGGTGTTTATCAAAAGAAAGACTTCAGGGGTGGATCTAGAGTTTTCTCGAGGGGGGTCTTCAAAAAAACTTTTTTTAATTTTGAAAAATTGCGTTTGTAGGAACTTTTTGAAAAATTTTGACCAAAAAATTGCATGCTCCCCCTCAAAGTTAGTAAATTTTGGGGCCGACTGAGCCTTTAGAAAATTTTTAATGTCAGTCAGACAAAACTGGATATCTCAAAATAGTACAAATCGGGGACCCTTTGGGTCGGTAGGGGTCGAATCCCTAAGGGTAGTATCCGCCCCCCACCCTCACCTAATTCCGCTGGTAATAGACAAAGAGGCAAGTGTAAAAATTTTTTCAATTTTTTTCTGTGGTTTTTCTGAAATTCAATAAACCAAACTGTTAAAAACAATTTTTCAGTGTTAAGCTGAGATAAAACGTGTCAATTTAAACAAGTGAACGGATACTCCAAATTTTTGTCAAGCAAAATGCCTTTACAAAGGTTTTGCAACCAGTTTTTTCTGCAAAAAAGGCGGTAACCTCTTTAAAACTGGAGAAGAGCTAGAATATTGCGCAAAAACCAGTTAATTATTCAAAAGTAAATTATTAAAACTGTAGAGGCCTGATTGTTTTTTTTTTCAATCGCGAAAAACTGGAATTGATAACTTTTTGCAACTTTCCTAAGATACAGAATATTGTATTATGTCTGGTAGCGTTTACTCTACCCTGGGCTTGAATTTCGCGACCAATATTTTTGGTTCAAAACCCGGTAAATGCCCTTTCTGGGCTCTTTTCCAGTTCCCCCCTTTAATTTTTTCTGAAATTCATTACATGAAAGTCTATTCAAAATGGCTTTTCATGTTAGAAACTGCAATAAAACGTGTCAGCGTGAACAGGTGAACAAATTTCTACAACATTTCTAACATGAAAATTGCCGTATGAACAATTTTTGAACATCTTTGTTTTGTAATTTAACTAGGGGGGTGGGAAACTGGAAAAGAGCCCTTTTCTGTTCTGAACTTGCCAAAAATAGGTCACAAAATTTCTGGGCATAGATGTGCACGTTGGCCCACTTTCTAAGCTTTATAAAAATAATCAACATTGATATGGAATTATTCACTCATTTAGCCGGGATAACACAAAAAAAAACAATTACAAAGTTACAAAACTTGAAAGATCGGGAAGGGAAGTGGAACAGAGCCCAAGTTTTTTCTATTACTAGCACACTTGCTTGCCAGCTTACATCTTATCATACAAACTGGTAAGCTTAAATTGTCGTAAGCTCATGCTCGTTTGAAACTTTAATGGTTACAATGCAGATGGCGCGGGGGGGGGGGAGACAAAAAAGAGCGCAGTTTTCTGCTTGGCCGATAGTTTGCAAAACTGAGGTCCCTAAATTGCTCGTATTTTCGAGAAAAAGGGGTTTTGTTTTGATTAGATAAACATACTCCTTTCCCTTTTCGCCACCACATTTCAAATTTTTCATTTTTTCAAATGTCTTATGTGTAATTATGGCTGAATGCGTGATCTTACGAACTAAAATATGATGAACAAATGTGTTCACAATAGTTAGTTTTTCCCCATGCGATTTTTGATTACATTATGATAATGTTGAATTAGTGGCTCTTTTCCAGTTCCCCCCTTTCAAATTTAATTTTGAAAAGCTTATTTAACGTTGTCATAATGCAATGAAATTTGGCGTGGTGAACAAATCGACAACTGTGAACAGATTTGTTCATCATACTTTACAGCGTAACATCACGCGGCTCTTTTTCCTTCCCCCCCCACCTGCAAAATTTTACTAGTGAAGTTTTGTTCACTTTATCCAAATGTTACAAAAATTGGCATGCGAACTGATTAGGCTATGACAAACATTTTTGGTCTCCATAATTAACCTTGTGAAAGCCCTCGTTACACCATAAAATTGATGCTTATGTGAGGTGGGGGGGAAAGGAAAAAGAGCCCATCACACATTTAGCCGTAATAACACGTAAATCAAACATAAAACTCGGTATTTTGAAAAGGGGGGAACTGGAAAAGAGCCGAATTAGTTTCTCAAAACTGAAATTCAAATAAGGGGGAGGAAGTAGAAACGAGCCGAAAAAATTGTCTTTTCCATTTCACCCTTTTGTGATATTTTCTGAAAATCATTATATGAAAGTCTACTAAAAATTTAGAAATTCATGTTATAAACTGCATCAAATCTTGTCTGCTTAAACATGTGAACAATTTTTTTAAGCAATTGTTATGGCTCTTTTTCACACCCACCTCACATGAGCATCAATTCTTTGTTCTAACAAGTGATTTCACAAGGTTAATTATGTAGACCAAATATGTTTTTCATTGCCTAATTTATTTGCATGTCAATTTTCATTACAATCGGACAATGCGAACAGTAATTTTAATTATAAAAAATTGCAGGTGGGGGGGGGGGGGGGGAGGAAAAAGAGCCATTGTTATATGCAAATTGCCGTGTGAACAACTTTTGAGCAGCTTTTCTTGTAATTTAACGTGGGGGCAGGGAAATTGGAAAAGAGCATAAAAAAATATAAATTGACCGGGCTGACATCGTTATTTGGCAAGTTGGCTGTTTGCCGGTCATATTATGGCATTTGGAATCTATATTAACCTAAATTTTGGAGCTCATACAAAACCTTGCAAAGCGTCTAATTACATCCAACAAAAGAAAAGGGGCGAGCCTGTAACAATCTCCATATTCTCTTTATTTTTTAAAATACCTAGGTTGAGGTGCTCTTTTAATGTTTCGACCGTCTAGATTATATTTCGGTATAATTCGACCGTCTCGACCAATTGTGGGTATGCTTTGAACGTGCGCGACCGAAAAAAAAAGTCCTCGAACGTGCTTGGCCCAAGCAAGATATCTTTCGACAGTGCTCGACCAAAAACAATATTCTCGACCGTGCTCGACCAAATTTGGGTATAATTTGACTTTCAATAAAAGTTTTCTAAATTGTAACGTTATAATTTATGCTTTTCGGGTGATATTTCAAGGTGCTTTTTATTGGAATTTTCATGCAAAAAATTGTTTCTGACTCCAATTTATAGCTGACAAATCCGTTTTTTTTGGACCGTTCTTGAGGTATGTTTCCGACCGTGCTTTGACCGAATTTTGGTGTTTTTTGACCGCATGGTTCAAATTTGTGCTCGACCCCAACCCCTGTCTCGACTTTTCTTCTTTGCTCGAGCACTGACATGTACTCGAGGCTCTTTTTCCTCCTCCCCCCCATCTCACATAAGCGAAGAAAAAGAGCTCTGCTCGATTTTGAAAGCCGAAAATTAAAGTGAGCACTTCGACCCGGGTACCGAACAGATGGTGATCAAAATAAACTCCTCATAAGATAAACTCAGCAAATGCATGCTAGATAGCTCAAAATTAAACTAACCATCTGGGTTCATTTGGCTTCAGGATGACCAGAACAACGAAGAGTGCTTGGTTTAAGTGCAGAAATACCACAGAGGTTTTTGTTTCCCTATTATTTATAAAATAATAATAATTTTTAACGTTTTAATCAAATATACCACGTTATATTCATGAAAGCTGCACGTGCAAAAAGGGTGAAAAATAATCATGATCGTGGTATTTCTGCTGAAAATACGTTCTCTAAAAATTTTCTGACGAAATTTTTTGTTCTGTGAAATCGTTAGTACTTTAAGGCAAATCGCGCGGATCTTCGATCGTCCCCCTGCATTTTTTTTATTTTTCCATCTTCTAATCACATTGTTTGGCTATTTTGCGTTGGCTCTTTTTCCTTCATCCCCCCTCCCCCCCCACCACCTCACACGAGCTTCAATATATTAGTGTAACGAGTGGTTTTACGGGGTTGTGTATGCAGACCTAATATGTTTGTCGTGGCCTTATTAGTCCGTATGTAATTTTCATTACAATCAGACAATGTGGTCAACAAATTTACATTAAAATTTTGCAGGTGGGGGGAAAAGAAAAAAGAGCCTTTTCGTTTACCCCAAATATGAATTTTTGCAAGTAAAAGTTTTGTTCGCATTATCCGATTGTTATAAAAATGAAAAACATGACAAACATATTTGGCATTAATACCTAACCTTGTTAAACCCTTCGCTGCAAAATGAATGATCATCCGAGGTGGGGGGAAAAGGAAAAAAAGCCCATTGTTAAATTGTAAAAAAAAACCGGTATGTGGGCTAGTTATCCAATTGGGAGCACAATTGTCATCATACAAAACTTAGATAAGCCGATGACAACACCAAAAAGTGATTTTTGTATTTGGAGTTGGAGTTGAACGGTAGTTTGGAGTTGGAGTTTGGTTCAAAACATTAGTTGATGATGATCGAAAATCGTCTTCGAGCTTAAAGAAGGTTATGACCCAGCTGATCCACCTGGCTTTACCAAAAATGCTAGTCATACCCTCTTCACGCAAGTCGAAAAGTACAAAACATTGAATAGAAGGTTTATGATTAAGGATTTTTTATGCATGGAAATGGTATGGCTAGCATTTTTCCATTAACCAAAAAGTGATTGTTTTCTTAATTTGAAATCTTTTCAAAATTTTTGGGCTGTGTTCGTAACCGAAGACAACAGACAAAGACCCTGGTTACTCAAAACTATAGTAACTAATGGTTTAATGGTCATGCAAGAACAATGCACGGGAAATGACCTGAAAATAGCTGTGTTGCACAAACAATATAACAAAAGTAGCAAAATTCGGCAAAAAAAGTTACTGAGATGCTTCTATTTTGATGTAAAAGTTTTCATTTATCATGCTTTACCCGAGGCATTCAACAAAATGCAATGCGAAATAAATAGATTTTTAAGCGTTGGGAGAATATTTGTTTACTGCAACGGAAAAATAGTACGCCAACTTTTGAGTAAAAAATAATTATTGTTCCGACTTTCGATACAAAAGTAACGGAATATTTGTGCTCGGGTGGGTTTTTTTTTCAGACAAATTTCGACTTTTAACTAGCCATTTTTGACGGAATTTTTTTTATATCATTCAAAAGGTATTGTTGTCCTGAGCTTAAATTTGAAAAGATATTTCACCTGCGATCATTTTTCGTAAAGTTACGGGGGGTTAAAGATTGCCATTTTGGCCAATTTGGGACAATTAACGCGCGATATATTTCGCGCTATTAACGCGTAAGCGGAGAGTTAATCCGTCTAAAAAATCTTTCCAAATTGGTTAAAAGAAGCTTATTTGCAATAATTGATTTGTTACAAGGAACGAAATCTCTCTTTTTGTACTTTATATGGCGTGTGGGGGGATGATTTTCATTTAAAATTTCAAATTTTAGAAAAAAAATTTTCATTTTATTTTTTTTCATTTATTTTTTAAATGTTATTACTGCTGCTCCATAAACCCTAAAAGGCAGTCGGAACATTCAGGGCTTCGTCCTGATACGAGCAGTCTTGTTTCTCATGTGGTTCTTTTTTGTAAATTCTTGGAGCTTAATGATTTCCCGCTTTGGCTAATTTTAATTCAGCAAAAAGGTATGAAAATTCTATTAAAAGCATTAGCATTTTTCATAACTTTATTTGTGTTATTGTATGAATAGCATTTCCGGTCTCTGGAAGTCAACCCGGGTATCTATTAAAACAATACAGAACCTGAGAAAAAGTCTAAATAAACTTCAAACTTCTATCAAATGCACATCTGAAAAATAGTTTCGTTCATAATAGAGAATAATTTTTTCCACACTCCAAAATTTTTATGTCAAACTGGAAAAATGTTCTCACCATTTTCATGATATTAGGTTTGTTAGGCTGCTAAGTTAACTTCATTAAAAAGAAATTTTTTTTTCAAGAAAACACCTATTTAGCCGTTGTAGATACACAAGCACCCACTTAGTGGTTGTAGATACACAAGCACCCACTTAGCCGTTGTAGATACACCCTATTTAAGCCTTTGTAGGTTCTTTTGGTAGATACAGACCAGATGAAAACTGCTCGCATAAGGGCGAGTTTTTGGTTGTTTTCACTGCTTCTTAAAGGTCTATGTGCTCTTGCGTTATAAGACTTATTGAAAGTAAAAAAACATATTTCGAATTTTTAGTTTAAAACTGTTCCCAAACGCTATGTAAATTGATATAATTCACATACAGCAAAATATTCCAAATAGTATGCCTCATCTACCATTTGGCAAAGTAGACCAAATAGCATGCCGCAAATAAGTTCAGAACTATTTTTAAGACGAGTTAAACTTACAGCCGCATTTTTAGCACAAAGGGGAAATAATTAAACCCCATGAATTTATAAAAAAGAACCACAAAAAAGAATATTTATTTAAAATAGAGCTCACGACAACAAAACCTTTCATCGCCAAAATAAGCTAGTTAAAAAGTCAAATTTGGTCTTGAAAAAAAAAAAAGAAACCGCTCCGATCACAAATATTCCATCACTTTCTTCAAAATGTAGAAAATGCGAAGGAATTTCAAAAAAGGGTCAAAGCATTGGATGGCATCTTGAATGCAAAATAAGCTTTCTTTTGCGCTACCACACGCATCAGAGTTTCAATTTTTAAAAGATTACTCATATTAATATAAAAAATTGCAAAAACTGGAGCAGAGAGTTTAATTAAACAAGAAGAGCCAACTGACTACGGTGTTCTGTTACATACAAAATTTGAAGAAAACAATTCGAAAATAATTTCAAACAAACATTTGGAAAATGAGGCGGTCGATTATCTGACAATTGAATAAGCCATTGACAATTAAATAAGCAATTTTTTTTTCATAGGCAAGGGGGAAAGGTCACGGTTTGGGGTTGTTGTTCCGACTTTTGATACGAAAGTAACGAAATATTTGTGCTCGGGTGGGTTTTTTTTCTCTTCAGACAAATTTCGATTTTTTAACTGGCCATTTTTGACAGAATTTTTTAAATAATTCATAAGGTATTGTTGTCCTGAGCTTAAATTTGAAAAGATATTTCACCTGTGATTATTTTTCGTAAAGTTATGGGGGTTTAAAAATTGCCATTTTGGCCAATTTGGGACAATTAACGCGCGATATATTTCGCGCTATTAACGCGTAAGCGGAGATTTAATCCGCCTTAGAAATTGTTCCAAATTGGTTGAAAGAAGCTTATTTGCAGTAGTTGATTTGTTACAAAGAGCAAAATCTATCCTTTTGTACTTCATATGGCGTGTGGGGTATGAATTTCAAAAAAAAATCCCAATTTAAAAAAAAAGTTTTCATTTTATTCTATTAAATTTTTTTGTATGTTATTACTGCTCCATAAACCTTAAAAGGCAGTCAGAACTTTCAGGGCTTCGCCCTGATACGAGCAGTCTTGTTTTAGTTTGGTTACGACAGCATCGGGAAATTTTCCAAAATGAAAGAGCCGAAGCTTCCACAGAAGAAGTTTGTACGCACTTTTTTCTCACCAATGAGTTCACGGAACATCTGCCCTACCAGAGACTTATTGGGAAAGATTACAAAAAATTTTTAAAAAAACGACTTGAGATCCGCCAAAATGTCGCGAGAAGCCAACTAAAACTTCGAAATAGTTGATTCATTTCGTTCACAAAGGCTTGCTCCTGAGGTTCTGGTTGTTTTGAAAAGTGATTGCCCATCCTAGTTAACAGATTTGTAGCAAAAACTTCTGTTTTATAAGTTTTATGATTTCTATTATTTCATTTTTGTTTTCTACTTTTTTAATACTCTTTTTGTGATATTTTAGCATATTTCTATATATTTCACAAAAAATACCAGACATTTTTAGGACTGTCAAAATGTAATAACAGATAAAAGATACATTTTAAAACGGAAAAAACAAGGCTTACAATTTAAAACATGTTTTTCTGATCATGACAAAAGATTAGTTTGTCGTTTAATTTGACATTGTACTCATTTGTTTTTTAACCTAGATGAAATACTTTACTTTGAAAAAAATAATAAACTTAATGCAGTTTATATTCGCATCGCTGTTTGAGTAAATAAACCGTAATTGTTTGTCCTGAGAACTCCACGCCGCTCACCTGGGCTTAATTCGATTCGTTTGTGTTTGCGTAAACTTCACCCTAGCCCCATATGAAAAACTCAGTTACCCTAAAACCCATGTTTAATAAACTCAGAAGAAAAAATTTTGAAGAAAAAACTCTTGCAATTTATACCAGTTGATGAAATGTTCGGAATAAATGGTTTAGAAAACTGAGCAAAAATCGACCTTTAATTGTCGTTCTTGAAAGTAAATTTTTGGGGGTTGCATAATTTTGTTTTGCATAACTATTTGGTTCCCCTTGCCAGTTTTGTTTGCTAGTTTTGTAAGTTTTTTAATTCTGTTTCGTAATTTTGTCGGAATCTTTTTAGAATTTTGAATCAGTCGGAGTAATTAAGGATTTTAGAAATTTAGAACAATGCACAATTAGTCCGGCCGAATCCGAAAAAAAGAGCAGGGTTGAACTTAATTCATCGACAATGCTATTGTCATACAACTTTACATGTCGCTTTTACGAAAGATTCTGATCATACAAACTTCCTCCAACTGAAACTTATTTGGTAACAATTTTTGACAAAGCACAAACTTTGTACGAAATAAAACTTCAAAACTCCACAAATAATTTTTTT